GGGGGGGCGTGTGACACTCGGAGTGGTGGGTCATGCATGCGCCTTCGTGGGTGTAACCAATATTTGCACCATCATAAATTGGACGGATCACGTTCCCTCTGCATGAAGGTGATGGAGCGGATTAGGGACCTATTCAATGGCTATCTAAGAGGCATCACTTACGTAGTGAAAGGCTCTGTGGCGCACGATCCTCCAAGACATGCTCTGCGGTAATGCTCGACAAGATGGCCCAAGCGAGCTTGCCTCGAAGGACGCTTGAGCTCCCTAAGGTCGAGTCCGAGATCCATTTTCTTCAGAGGAGCAATCTGTTCGGGACGGAGAAGCCCTACGCCTTCAGATACCATGTCGACGCACCCGAAGTCCAGCAGACCAATATGACCATGAGCCCGGCCCTGGTAACCATAAGAAACATCAGGGGGTTTGAGCATCACTTCTCACTGGAGTCGACCGGCTTCGAGGTCATAGACGTGGGCGAGACCATACCTTACGAGTCCTTCTTTGACGGTGCCGCTGTTGAGCTGTATCTTAGGGGGCTCGAGAGGCTACTAAAGTCGCGCCTCGGGGCCTTGCATGTCGAGGTCTTTAGATATGGTGTAGGTCACCCCGATCCTGCCCGCAGCAGTCAGAGCTCCCATAGTCGCCCTGTTGACTTAAAAGCACTCCCAGATTCGCAAACGCCATCCGGAATTCCCCGTCTCAACCGGGTCCAAGTACGAGTATGACCAACCAACGTCTGTAGCTCATATAGGTAGGACTCCTAAATTTAAACGTGCAATAAGTTTGGCAGAAGTTTACCCATTCTTTAGACACAACCGTCGACGAGATGCTCGATTATGTTGAGCGCTTCCCTCTAGAGAAACGGGAACTTTTCCAGGGACGGAGATGTCAGTGGCTCAAGTAGGTGACGGCATAGAACTGGAGAGGGTGTTGTCGACGCGAGAATAGAGCGTACTAACGCCCAAAACGCGACGGAACAGCGTGTGGAAGCCGCTCAGGGGCCCGCTCCATGACTGGCCGCTCACGTTCTGCGACGCCGCCGACATCGAGCCGGACGTGGACCTCGCCTCCGCCGACCTCCTCTATCCCGACCTCGCCACGGAGAACTACCAGGTTTACCATCGGGATACCTACGATTGGTATTACCTCGATGGCCAGACCGCGTCCGAGGCTATCGTCTTCCTCCAAGCGGACAGTAAGGATGGCGCAATAGCAGGTGAGATAGGTCATCTCAGGTCGCATAAATTCTTGTGTTCTAGACTGACGGGTTCCGCCCATGCCTCAAGGTGTCCCGCATTGTTCCTTCTACAACCCGGCAGCTCCACCGGACGAAAAACCGAGAGAAAGCATTGAGACTAGGCTACTTGTGTGTTACGAGACCTAATGGCTGCGCATGGAGTACAAGAAGACGGCTTGGTGCAAGAGAGCTTGGGTGCTGAGTGATAGCTACGGATGATGGGACATTTTTCTCAGGCTTGCACAATCAAGAAGCCTTGCTTCTCGAGGCTTGTCCATCAGGCTGTCCGTCCATTTCGAGGATCCTCTCCTCAACGTCACTTTTGAGTGTTTTCTATGCTTTCGCTGATGGGCCGGGAGCCCCAAACACTCTATGGATCACCGCAATGTCAGGATGAAGAAGCAGGGAAGGCAGTTTGCGGGGGCGTCTCACCTTGTGCAGCGTGAGAGCGGCATAGAGTACCACAAATGCACGAACATACAGATACACGATCGTGACGGGCACCGCAGCCAGGCTGCCGAGAGCGAGACTGTACGGCGCATGCTCGGCGACGGTCAGGATGCCCGATATGGCAAAGTGGCCACGCAAGAGTGCTGCGAATGGCCGCCCCGATTCTCTAGATGGTACCAGCAAAAGTCAGAAAGGGTTGAGGCACTCATATTGGAGCGGAGACACGTGCCTGTCTCTCAACCACCCAACTCCGACGGCCAGGAGAAACAGCATCTCCAGGAGCGTGGCCGCGTCGGTGATGTAGTATACCAAGAGGTTCAACACAGCCCGGAGCAGATGGCGTGCATTGCATTTCTTGACGCTGAAGACGAGATCGGCAACGTAGCATCGGATGGTGTCCCTCTGCCACCGCAAAAGCTGCTTGAGGTAGAGCGAGCTCGGGCTGACCTTGGCGACCAGAAGCACCTCGTCCGAGGTCTCGAACCAGGTACGCCAGCCGTGCCGGACGCACCAGACGGTGAAGGCGTTGTCGTCGCCGGTCGTGACGGGGTTCCCCAGCCACTTCTCGTTGAGGAAAAAATCGTAAAACTCGTCGTTTTGAAACACGCTGGTCCGAAGCGCGCTGAGGCGGCCCGAGAGATTGAGGACCTGGCCCCGGTTGAAGTAGGCCAGCGCCGAGTGCATGATGTTGCGCCGGACGAGGTTGAGGCTCCCGAACCTCTCCCACGCTGTCAGGCCCGCCTGGATCGCCGGGCCGACAATCTGCAGCCCGGTGGCGCCGCCGATGCCGGGGTCGTGGAGAGGATGGACTATGCGGGCGAGCGTTCCGCCAGACCACAGCGAGCGGTCGTCGGCAATGACAAAGTATGGAGTCCGGACTCGGCGGACGCCCTCGTAGTACTGTCGCCGCGCCGACGGCTTGGGGACAGAATGGACCAAGACTCTCGGGTCGCCGATTCTGTCGGCAAGCCTGGATATTTGCGGGAGCCGGGCGTCAATGGTGACTATGATGACCTCCTTGGGGCCGCAGGCCAGCCATCGATAGACAACATCGTGATAGTTTGTTTCGGTGCCGAGGGTTATGCAGACAATAGTGACATCGTCGGAGACCCGGATGCTTGGTCTGCCGCGCCAGCTGAATGGCTTCAACCTCAGGTAGCCCCAGTACTCGAGGAGTAGCAGGGCACCACGCAGGCACCTCAGGGCTCTCGATTATGGAATACGGTGTAATTTGGTGCGAGATGTTAGCACATGGCCGTGCCAGCTAGGCAAGAGGGTCTGTTCGTGGTCGGCCTGTGAGGTTTCGACGGTCAGGAGCAGCTATACCTGATTATGGCGTGGATCAAATGCAGCATTATTCCCGTTTCTTAAATCCTGTAGGTAGAAGCTCAGGCCGGTGCCTTCAAGTTGACGACGCTTGAGGGGCTGTCAAGGGTGGGTGTGGCCTTGCACAGGCGAGACTAGGTCGAGTATCTCTTGAGCGAGCAGCTGGCAGACTACATACCCCGCCGGATACGCATGGATGTGGCAGTCACGTCGGGCCGCTGGCCCCGAACCGGCAGCTGAGGCTGCCAAGCAGAAATGGATAGGGGACTAAAAAAAACAGCGTGGAGTATCGGGTTTGTCCTCCCGCGGTCGCTTTCCAACCTGGGTTCTGCTTTACGGTCCCTCGGCCCCAATCCCTTTACTCCCCATACTTCCTACAATAGACTCTAATTGGCCGCCTCTAGAAATGACATCACTTTGTGCTCTGCAACCTCCTCTATGGTGGGCCGATCTTTGGGCTCATAAACCAGGAGAGAATCCAACAGAGACACAATGACACCAAGCTCCTCTTCCGAGACGGCACCTGTACCGTAGCTGAGGCCTATGCTGTCCCTGACCAGCCGCTCCAGGCCACCGGAGGGAGGCCCCGACGGCACGATGAGCTTGTCCCGCTCGTCGCCCAGGTAGGCCCGCCAGTCCTCCAGGAGGGACTCGGGCGGCGGCCCAAGCGTCTGCATTATGGCGTTGACGACGCGGTAGGCCGGGTCGTCCTTGATCCCAAAGAGGTCTCGGCCGGTAAGGGCCTCAAAGAAGCCGCAGCCTAGCATCCACATGTCTATGGCGGTCGAGATGCGGCCTGGGCTGTTGAACTCGGGAGCGACGTAGGGCCCGCACCAAGCGGTCCGCGCTGGCGGATCCTGGGGGAAGAAGGAGTCGCTAAAGTCGCCAATCTTTGCGGGGCCTGAGAAGAAGCCCGGGTCCATGTCCCGGGCGAATATGCCCTGGACCGCGTACTTGGGCGCCGAGGGGTTGCCTGACCCAAGGTCGACCGTCTTGGGCGGGCCCGAGAACTCCGTCATCTTGGCAATGGTGGGCGGCAATGTGTCGGGAAGGCCGAGGAGAACATTGGCAGGGTGGAGATCTGGTCGGTGGGAAGAAAACAGTCAGAGAGTGTGGTCCGAGAGAAGAAGAGGGAAAGAGGCGAGTGTCAATCAAAAAGACGTCAGAGCGTACCGCCATGCGCAAGACCCATCGAGTGCGAGTACTGGAGGCCCCGGACCATGTCGCGGAGCACCCGCTTTGCCAGAGGGGACGGGAGCGGGCGGCTCCCAGCGTCACCCCGCTTGGTGGCGGCGGAAACCGTCTGACCCTCGACGGGGAAGACTATGCAAAAGTGCGTGCCGTTGGGGCCGGCGTGGTCAAAGTGGTCCTCGGGGAGGAGCACGTTGGCCCTCCCTTGATGCCCCGGGTCGCCGTCTTTGAGGCGCCACCATCTCGTCATGGCGCGCGTCTCGGTGCCGCGGGATATGTCGGCCATGTGCACGGCGACGGCCACGCAGCGGGCATCCTCGCCGTCGCGCCGGGCGAGCCAGACCGTGCTAGTGTCTCCATGGCCGAGCTTGTTCACGACGGTGTACTTGGACAGGCGGTCCCCAATGTGGATGGGGTGGAAGCCTCCTGGGCGGTAGCCCCGAAGATCTTCGACATGGGGAAGGTCTGGGTGCACCGCTGCTGCCATATTGATGATCCCGTCTTCGAGCCGACACTATTCTAGGGGCAGGTACCTATTGGTCTAGAGGTATCGACAATTTGTGTCGGTAAGTTTCTGAGCCAGACCAAGAGGCATAAAGGGAGTGCTTCTATGATTTGCTCGTGACAGCGAGGGCTCACTGCACTCGAAGGTATGCATTGTCATACGATAGCAATATATCTATCTGCTATGTAGGCAAATAGCCAGGGATTTGTTTTACGTACGGCGTGCTGCTGTCGCTCTCCGCGGCTGTTTGCCCCAGCCTGTCAGCCTTGAGTCCGCCAGGATTGGGTCGTCGCTGAGGATTTAGGGGAAGAATCAAAACCAACCATGCATTGTCGGGCCTCAATTTCGAATGGGTGTGGTCACGCATGAGCGGCGATGCATGCAGCTACATTGCAGGCCCGCGTTTCCGGGCGTCGTCGCCCTGATGGAACCGAAACCCCGCGCGGCCTCGACCACGATGGAATCACATTCGATGGGCGGCCAGGCGAGGTGTGTGTGTGATATGATGTTTAGCTGCAGTAATCCTTGTGCTTTGGGCGTGGGCGTTTAGTGCCCGGCCGGCAAGGCTCCATTCCAGCTCCCCAACGGTTTCAAGGTGGTGCACCGTGCACATTGCATCATGACAACAGGCTCGAGTTTGGAGCTTGCTTCGAAGCCCGGCAATTATCTTGAGTCAAGCGCCCGAAGTGCCAGCCGCGGGCCTGGATCCCGCCAATCAGAGGGGCCAACTCAACCAAGGTGGGCGACTTTTCAGGGGCGTTTCGTTAGAGGGACCGCAAACGGTGGGGCAACGGACCCGCCACAGTACGAATTCTTAGATTCATAAACGGACTCAGGTATTCCTGCCAGCCCACCAGCTCACCAGTTACTGATTCCAGTGAGACATCACAGGGGGGTTGGGCCGGCGATTTTCAGGTTTTGGGCATGCTGAGCAGAAGGAACCCGCGCCCGAACCAATCGCCCAGAGAGGCTTCTAGTGGCAATCTCGAGCCGCTACAACAGGCGGCAGTCGGGTCTGGCCGATTGTGTGTGTGGTTATCATTTTCTCTCCTAGTAGAAGCCAGCACAATAACCTCCAGCATCAATCGAGCAGACCCAGCGTTGCACCGCAGTCACACCCGTACTACGCAACCAAACCATCAAGTATCCGCTCGCAGGTTTTGTCGGCCATGAGCATCGAGGAGGTCGCACCGCGCCTCCGGGTGGCCGGGCAGTTTGCACTGTACATCCTGTTCAACTTCGTCACGCTCCTCCTCGAGGTCCCGATCGTGCGACTGCTGGAGCACGCCATCTGCTACCGCCGCTTGGGCGGCGACGGTGCCGTCGACGAGAGAAACTGCAAGATACCGGCCGTGCAGGACAGCCTCGCCAGCATCACCGGGTGGAAGATGTTCTTCGACGCGGTCCCGGGCCTCGTCATGGCTGTGTACTACGGCTCGCTCGCCGACCGGTCCGGCCGCCGCATTGTGCTGGCCCTCTCCGCCGCAGGATACACGTTGATGTTGGGGTGGGTCGTTGTCATTTGTACGTCGCTACCATGCCCAAGTACCAGACGATTAAGCTGACAGATAGAACAGGTTCACTGCCAAATATATATCCCGTGTCGCTTGTTTGGGTGTCTTCTCTTCTCTTCTTCATCGGTGGCGGCCAGCGTATCTTCAACTCCATTGTCTTCACTCTGATATCTGACTCGCTGGACGAGAGCAAGCGGTAAGATTCATACGCCCTGACCCGATTATACTCTTCCGCTGACGCTTCTGTTGATCTAATAGGGCGAGGCGCCTGTTCCTCCTAGCTGTTGGGCCTCACACCTGCCGGCTCATCAGTCCTGTCATCGCCTCTGTTTTGATGGAGGTGAGCATCCGGGCGCCATTCTGGCTCGCCTTCAGCTGCCTCGCGCTCATTTTCGCCATTATTCCCTTTGTAGAGGACGCCTCTGTGCGTCGGGGAACGCGGTATACGAGAATAGAAGCCTCATCAGAGGTCGCCACGTCCGATGGCGACGCGGAGCCGGGCGAATCCACCACGGGCCGCCGCTTCGCGCAGCCCAACATTCGCAGCTGGTGTGGCTCGCTCATGACTGGCGCCAAGCATGTGGCCATGTCCATATATGAACTTTTCAACACCCCGGCCGGGTGGTTCTGCCTCGCGAGCTTCTTCCTAAAAAGAGTCGCATTTGCGAGCGAGGGGTTTGCTTTCCAGTACGCCTCGGAAAAGTTCGGCTGGGAGCTGAGGCAGACCACGTGGCTGCGAACCGCGTCGGCCGCGGGTGCCGTTGTGGTCACCCTTGCCGTCGGGCCTATAGTCGGCCTCATCCTCCGCAGGCGAGAGGTGCCTGCCGCTGTTGTTGATCTCAACACTATCCGATCATCTCTCGCCATGCTCATTGTCTCTTTCTTTGCCGCCTGGAAAGCCCCATCTATGGAGATTCTTATCGTTGGTAAGGACGGCCTCCCGACTTTCACCTCTTCTATCAGGGGGAATGGGGATATGAGAATGTCTAACATCGGCGTTATTCCCGCAATCTAGCAATGGTGGGATGTGGACTCGGTGAAGCCTTGGAGCCGGCGCTGCAGGCCTTTGCGCTTGCCTCGACCGACTCTTCTAGGAACGCTCAACTATTCACGACCATAGCTCAGTGTGACACACTCGCGGAGCTTGTTGGTGGTCCCTTGATGGCTGCGCTGCTATCCATTGGGCGAGGGAAAGGCCATCCGTCTGCTGGCATCAATTTCATCGCCTCATCGGTGAGACTACCCTCGGCTACCCTTGCTATTCATCCCTCCCGTGGGCCTGAACTAACTGAGCTTGATAGTCTATCTTTATGGTGCTTTTGGGCTCCTCTTTGCTATCTAATATTAATCGCTAGGGGGGCTGTGCTATGAGGCGAGATGTCTAGAAGGGAAGCTATGCAGAAATGGGAAAGGATTACATATTGGACGAAAGATTATAACGCTCCCCACTGTTTACACGCTCGTCTGCGTCTGCTCGCTGCCTGTGATCTTATGGGCCTTGATTTTGTTCATCTTTTTTTTTCTCTATCCTTTCAGCTTCGTCACCTCATTTTTTTTCGCGTGAACCTTTCTTTGCCCCATCACGCCCGACTACCAGTCCTTCCCTTTAGGGACCGCAAAGGCTGAACCGGATTAACACGGGTTGGTCCTGGCGCTTTCCTTTGCCGAAAAAAGCAAGCCGCGGAGGGCGATGGAGGTGCGATCCCAGTACATCAGCCCCAAGGCTAATATGATAAAAGGTACTGCGATGACGAAGAAGATCCACAGGGGATAATTCCCGGCCGCGATGGGTTCGAGATTCATGCCGAAGAAGGAGGTCACGAAGCCCAGAGGGATGAAGATGAAGGCAAGTCGAGTCAGGTAAGCCATCTCCCGCGCCTGATCGATGCCTTTCCTGGACTCGGCGAGCGCAGCCCGTGAGGTGAGGTGCGATATCTTGGACTTGCAGGCCTCTGAGAGCCGGATCGCGCAGGCGTGGAGGTGTTCAAAATCTTTCCGGAGTTCCTCGGCGGCTTGGGCGCAGTCTTTGTCACTCTGCACCTGCTCGTTGCTGGGGTGAGCCCAGTCCGTTGTTGTTGCCTTGGGCCACGTCGGCCCGCCGCGGGCCTTGATGATCTCGATTGTGCTCCTGAGGATCTCTACCTGCCGGTCGAGCAGGTCCTGCGCGTAGACGAGGTTCGACTGGGCGATGCTCATGTGCTCCGGGCTCTCCAGGTCGACGGCCTCGGAGATGCAGTCCTCGATCATGTTGAGGAACTGGACCTGGGAGAAGGCGCAAAACTTAAAGATCTCGTGGAAGCTATAGAAGGCGTCCACGCCCATCATGGCCTTGTCCAGCCGCTTTCCGTAGTTTCGGTGGAGGAGCGAGGCGCTCTGGGCGAACTGCGGCTTGGGCATTGGGTCCTGCGCGACCGACTCCCTCTGGGGATGGAGGGAGCAGTGGGGGTAGCTCTGGACGGTCGGGAGGAAGGCTCGGTAGTCTGTATGGCTGTGCTCCCAATGGTCTTTCCATGGCCCACGGGGGCATTCGTTCAGGTCCTTGCCCGTATCAACCCACGCGACAGCTGGTTGTACGAGAGACGAGTCGGTTAGTGATGGAGCAGCTCCAAGAGCGCCAAAGGGAGGGGGCGCTTCGTTTCTCTCACCTGTCCAGCCTGTTTCGGTCCGATTCACACAGAGAGATATACACTGCTCAATTGCCCAACGGCCGTTGCTGAAAAGCGAAAAGTCCCGTACAATGGAGTTTCCGACCGCGTTGCCGTGCTCCAGTTTCTGGGACGTGGCGGTGATGTAGTCGTCCATCTTCTTCCGGGCGGAAAGCCTAAGCTGGTCCGTCTGGTCCGCCTTGAAAGACGGCTTGACCGTCTTGCTGAGGGTAAAGTACCGTAGCTGGACCACCTGGCTGGAAGCGGAGGGCAGCGACGGCTGAGCGTAGTACTTGGCCCGACCGACCGCGAGGATGATGTCCATATGCCGTTGAAAGTATTCCGGGTCGACACCGAACCTAGACCCTACCCCGCTGAGCCACTCCGGAGAGGGTTGTCCGCGTAGAAACAGCAGCTGGTTCCCGCCGGGGTGGTCCCTGGCCAAGGCAGCAACTTGGTCGGGCGAGGTGGCTTCGGTGCGGCGTGTCCTGTCGAGGCCTAGGCCTTGGTAGAGAACAAAAAACGGGAACCCGGCAGCGGCTGCCGTGTCGCGCCGGCGGTAAAAGGGGGCCTTGAGGTATGTTCCCAGCCTCTCAAAGTGAGGGCCAGGGAACAGAGTCGCCTCGGCGCCCTGGCGGGAGTAAGAGGATACCGCATTGGCATATAGCTCCTCTGGGGATGCTGCTTAGCACAGATGCAGATCAGAATTAAAGCCATCCATGTCTGCGTGCGTGCAAACGACGCGGATAGGTGGAGGGGGTTAATTTCGGACGCTCTTACCTGTCGAAGACCTCCCGTTGGAACGGGATGGTGAAGAGTCGGTTCCCGGCCCCATTTGACCGGGTTGTGCCCAAAACGGGAGCAGCACGGCTAGGGATGTGCGACAAACTCGGGCTACCACGTAGAGCTGCAGTCAGACAGTCGAGGAACAGACCCTATCAGCGAGCGGATAGGCGCGTGCGGCATGCATCTTCCAGATCTCAAGATGGGAGGTAGCACGCATTTGAAGCTGCAGCAGCGTCGGGGAGGGTTGTATTGCATGGGGTGTTTATTATTCTCGCAGAACCAACACGAACCGCCGGGGCGGGCGGGCGCCCAACCTTGTTGGCGGACTCACACCACTCGGGTCTTTGTGTGGGTGGCAGCCCAGCTCGAAGATTCAGGCGGCGTCTGGAGGGTGCGCCCATGGGTCGCATTTGCAGCCTCGACCAGACGGGCGTTGCCTGCCTCGAAGAGGATGAGGGGCACATACTTGGCATTTCCGCGCACGGCATTCAGGTCTTTTTGCGCGCCCGGGGCTGAGCGGGAGACGTCGAGCAGGTCTTGGGATTCGCTGCTTATCACCAAGAGTCACCAACGCCACATGCGGCCTGGGGCTTTGGAGCCGTGGTCTTGCATCATCACACCAATCTCAGCCGCCCTCAGCGCCCAACTCCGCGCCCATCTCTCAGCCCGCCCGGCTCCAAAGCTGCTGCTACCTGGACCAGAATGCGACCGCGTCATCCACGTCGGCATCCGTAAGATCTGCGGCTGCCTTGCCGCTGCCAGGATACAACTCTCCATACAACGCCGCACACCGGTCGCGCGCCTGCACAGCCTCGGTCTCCTTCCCTTGGCCCGAGTACATTGCTGCCGCTTTGAAGAGGGCTCGCATCTTCTCGTGCCTATAGGCCGGGCGGTCTCCGAAGATGCGCAGGGCCTCGCATATGTGCTCGCTGCTCGTTGTGAGAAAGGTCAGCCGGTGCCACCAGGTCAAGTAGGCAGTCTACTACCCAGCCCGACCTGATTGAATAACATCATCTTTTGAAACATACCTGGCTGCCGGAAACTTCTTGTCTCGGATAAAATGCTCAGCCATTTTTACGTGGACATCTCCAGTCCGGTGGTGGTTCTTGCCAATCGTTTTCTGGTACTGCGCCAGGGCTCGTGAGTGGAAGACAAAGCTTTCGCCATAAAGGCCTAAAGATGCTTTGACGTTCCCTATTGCGTGGAGGAACCTTCCAGTTCTGTATTTCGCCCAGTCAGTCAAAATGCAAGGACGGAAACCTGCTGCCAGCGCGGCCCCTCCTTACTCACATGAATGATTGGCTGTCATTGACCCCAAACGCCTGTTCCCGGTGACATAGACCAGCTTTGAGCTGCGCCATGGCGGCGTCGTGTCTCCCCATCAGCCAGTACGCCAATCCGAGGTTGACATGTGGAAACGAGGCGTCCGTGGGCTTGTAGTCAGGCTGCAACTTTGCCGACTCTATCGAGGTTGTGAAGCACCGCTCGCCATCTGCCCAGCGCCGGTTCATCATAAACGCATTGCCCAGTTCGTTCCACGAAATGTGCAGTCGGCTGTCTCTCCCTCGCGTGTGGCTGCCACTTTCCCTGATCATCATGTCGTTGTATAGCTGGAAGTGGTGTAGGGTGAACTCCGGCCGGTTTGTCTCGGTGCCGATGCAGCCGAGGTTGTGGTGCACCTCGGCCATCATGGATTTCAGGTCGGCTTCGATGAATCCGTTTGTTACGCCACTCTGTGTGGGGGTACTGTTCTTTAGCTGCGCCAATATGGACCGGCATATCTTGATGGAGAAGTCAAAGTACGGCTCGGATTCGGTAGAGTGTCCCGTCTCGTGATAGTACCTACGAACCGAGAGAGAGATATTACTCCAAGTGTTGGCATAGGTTAACAAGGGTCATCTGTCTTCAGTAGAGGTAGGTGGTCATGCTTACCACCCCGCGTCGATCAAAAGTTTCGGAAGCCTGAGGCGATTCTTCAAATCGCCGCCATGTCCATCAAGGGTCTGTATTTGATCCGCAAGTCTTCGAAGTGTCACGACATGGGGGAATAGCTCCTCGCATCTTGCCCACCGAGCAACTCCGTGGCGCCACCCAAACTTCTCATACGGCCACATTGAGGAGACTAGATGGAGACAGGCGTCAAAGGTCTCGTTGAACTGTGCCGTGGTCATCTTTGCCCGTGCCGTATCCTGTATCAACCGATGGATGACAATCCGCTTGGAAGAGTTGTCTTTGCTGATAAGCGACGACTGCAGAAGCTCTGTCCTTGCCTTCTGGTACTCAGTCGGCGTCTTTGGGAATGTCTTCAGCTGCACAGGTTTCGCGGCCTCATTGGTGAGTAGGTCTTCCAGGATGCCATCCGGATCGAGCATCGAAAGCACCTCGAGAAGTGATCTCCCGTGCTTGAGACTTTCCAAAGCCCAGACGGTCCAGATGGATTTCTCGTGACCCTTCCTTCCCGGCTTGCTATACTGCGACTGGAAGAGCTCCTCGCGCTTTGTGAGCTCGTCGTAGGACTGAGCGAACTCTGAGTAGGATAGATCACGGCGTATTATAACACTTGCCATCTGCGTCATCGCCAGCGGGAGACCGCCAAGACGAGCGTGGACCGCGCTGCTGTCTCCTTTCTTGAGTGTGAGCTTCTCAAGGAACGAAGATGACTCTCTGGCACTAAAAGGCTGGAGGTCGATGCCTGTGTCAGCCAGATACGTGGACTTCATGGCCAGGGGGTCCCTGCTCGTGAACAAAACACAGCCGGGGCCGTCCAGGGGCCAGAAACCCTCCAGCACATCCATGTCGTCGACGTTGTCAAACACAAGGAGCCAGAAGGCGGCCGTAGCACCCCGGTCCTTGACAGGGTCCGCCAACCATCCCTTGACGAGGTCGCGGGTGATGATCTGGTCGCGCGCATCGGTCGAGTCTCTAGCGACCAGGCCAAGTTTCACCGCCAGGCGGCTAAACTCGTCGTGAAGCCTCGCCGAGGAATCCGCGTGAACCCAAAAGATCATGTCAAAGCGGTCCTTCCGGGTGTGGACAAACTCGCCCGCCACTTGGGTCTTTCCCATGCCGCCCGGCCCGCAGATGGCAAACGTTCGGACCAGTGCATTGCCGGGGGAGTCCCTGTTTTCGTCTTCGTCAAAAAAAAACTTTTCAATGGCCGCCAACTCATTTTGCCGCCCGAAAAACTCCCGGTTGCGAACCACGGGTACGAGGTGGAGCGGGAAGCGTGATCCCGATATCCGTCTGACCGGGAACGAAGGGTGCGCCGAGAGACGGGGAACGATCTCAAATCCCATGTCCGACGTGGCAGCGGTGGCCCGGCGCGTGTTCCTGCTGATCGGAGACCTCGATTCCGTAGACCTACGGTTCGGGCTACCTCCTGTCTCTCCTGGAGCAGTGATAACAATGGGGACGCGAGACCTGTCAGTCATCCGAGACTGTGGGAAAGCTCAAATCGGGGGACAAAATACCTTGTGATTTGCTTGCTGCTGTTTCGGGTGTAAAGTCACTGAAGTCTCCAAAACTCGAGGGGGCATCGACTGAAAGTCGCGTTTTGACGGTTAGTAATCGGTGCTATGCAAAGATCGGCTTCTTAACTGATAATCCTTCCCCCTTACTCACATATCGGAGAGCCTTTGACGATTTTCAAGCGGGCATCCTCAAGAGAAGTGCTGATGAAGGTGCTGATCTTGCCGAAGTGTTTGGCGCTCGTGTCAACGTGGCACAGAGTGTTGTGGTCCGCGGCGATGCCGAGCATCTCTTCGTAGCTCGAGTTTGTTTTCACAAACGCCTCGTCCATTATCTAGCGATGTATCAGAAGATGGAACCCCCAGAGGCTGCCTGCTTTGTAGGGAGGTTCGGGGAATGTACTAGGGTCTTCTTAGTGATCCAGAGCCTGCTTTTAACCTTGGTCTCCTTGGTTTCGTAGACGGAGAGAATCGGCACCGTCACAGCGGCCTGCTCGAATAACAGAGAGCTCTTCGAGAGCCTTGTGAGGTCATCTGAGCTCAGCCGTTTGCTCTTCTTAGACAGCATCACGGTGGCATTCTGCCACTTGTCCCTGCTCTCGGTGCCAGAGTGGGGCGTTCCCAAAAGAATAACCCCAGCAAGCGCTCGCAGAAGATTACGGTAGTTCTGCTCGTAGGCTAGCCGGAGCGCCTGGTCTCGCATTTCTTTTTAGCAGAAACCACCAACCGGGCCACCAAAGATACAGGTTGGGCCACCTACCTCCTTGACGATGAGCCCCCCGAGGCTATGGCAGACAATAAGGACCGGGCAGTGTCCCAACTGTAGCAATGGCGTGGCCCGGTTAGCGGTGCCAGTGACAGCTTGAGCGAGAGAAACTCACGTTCAACTCCTCGATGATTTGTTGCAGCGCAGTCACGAACCGCCCCCCGTGCTCCAGCAGGTCGTGCCACGACAGTCCCGACGCATCGATCCCGTGATGGTATCCGTAGACACCGATGCCGGGGGCCACGCCGCCTGGGATTGATTCGAACCAGAGCCTCCGCTCCCCCGCGCTGGTCTGCTCACTCAGCCATTCATCAGGCGGCGGTGTTCCCACACCCGGCACCGCGATGATTCTCGAAAGTGTCAGGGTGATTGTGTATTTGTATGGCGTAGACCGAAGGTTCTCACCGAGAATAGTGGCTTACAGCGTTTGAACCTTGGGACTCAGCAGGATCTGATAGAGTCGGCCTTCCTTCTTGACGTCTCCCTTGGCCTTTTTGTTCGACGGCGCCATGGTAACGGCGACAGGGGTGGAATTACCCACTTCCCCTGAGTAAGAAACTTTATCGGGTCAATAGTGCAAGCACAGCGGCAGGAGAAAGGGCCTCGTCCCGCGGCGTATCGGCCGTCAAACTGCCCGCTCGCTGCTCGTTAGCCTGGGAAAATTATCGCCGGGATGCGACCAAACCAGCCGCCGAGGCTGGAACGAAGAAAATGCAGACCGGCTCCAAGGACCAACACGTGACCCCCCCTCTCTTCCATTCTTAGTGGTGCATCAAATCCGTTGCCGAGGGCGGGGGAGGTTGCATGACGGCTACATATGGACTGACATCAGATGGGCAGGGCCATCAATATGCTACGGTCAGGCTTTCTGTCGTGTATCGGCAAGGGCCCCAGCGCGTAACTCACATCGCCGATCGCCGCCATGGCCTTCGCCCTCGAGCAACTGTTTCTGTTCTCGGTTGATGGTGGGGATTTTGCCGCGTGGAAAGAGCCAAATGTATGTCCAGCCTGGCCTAGATAGGCATGCTGCTATGGTGCGCACTAACGGGTAGATACTACTGGAAAAGGACGCCCGGGTCATGATGGATGGGCGCTGGCTTGTCATGGTCCTGCCTTGCTGCTCTGACCCTGTCGATTCGACCATGGGTGGCGCACAGAGCCTGCTGGACAGGTTTCTGAACCACGCAGCTCGTACAGATGACGTCTTTTGCTCCGAATTTCTCTCGGGAATCATAGTGCCAATCCGCAATTCCTGCGACGGGGACCGCCAGCCCAAGAATCTGCGCGTCAACGGAAAGGACGCATGGCTGCGAACCATCGTGTTCGAGGATGGCATCGCGCCGGCTCCAGGCCCTTATGTGTTGGATGCCGGTAGACTCAGTCCTGTTTACAGACTTTACGAGGATACATCTGCGGCTTTTTCTATTCCGCTTCGAACCTCGCCCGACAAGGAGTTAGCCATTTACCCCAATCTCCAAGCCGTGCCGATCACCTGCTGAAACTTCTCGTGGTCTTTTCTTTAGACTCGTCGCAACCCGGATTGCACCCAGGGGCCACCATCCAAGCTGCGTCGCCGTCCCCTCACGCATGCGCAGCTTCGGCGGCGCCCCCGGACCGCCGCTCGAGGGCATTCGTGTAGCAGTCAAGGATATATTCGACATAAAGGGCCATCACACGTCTCTCGGAAGTAGGGAATACCTTAAACTATCCCCTCCAGCGAACTATACTGCACCCGCTGTCCAGCGCGTCATCGATGCTGGCGGCGTTGTTGTCGGTCTCACGCACATGTGCTCAATGGTGCTGTCGCAACATCCGACACAGTGTATCGACTTCCCAGCCCCTTTCAACCCCCGAGGAGACGGTTACCAGTCGCCATCGGGCGGAAGCTCCGGGCAAGCCGCAGCTATAGCGTCCTATGACTGGCTGGATGTTGCAATCGGAAGTGACTGTAAGACAGCTTTCGAACGCGCCTCCTTATCCAAAGACTCATTCAACTGGGGCTTGAACTGTGACGGGAGTCTAGCTAACAAGAGTCCATGAGTCAGCTACTGCTAGCGCCCGCCTTCCAGCCCTCGCCAATGGATGCTTCTCTTTTCGGCCATCTGGATCCATGGTCTCCTGCCAGGGCATGTGGTCAGGTGTTCCGTAAGTACACGTGACCAAGGTCTTGCCCAGCACGCAAGAGACTAATGACTACTGGCGAGCGACCGCAGCCAAACAGACACGCCTTGCCTCTTTGCCAGAAGCCTCGAGGTTCTCAGCGAGGTCGTCAATGTCTGGTGTCCGGGAACCATCAGGGATGGGGAACCCCTCGTAAGTAATCCATTTGGACAGAAAACTCCGTTCTCCGGAGGATTACTAAAATCTGTCACAGAAACCCACAAGACTGCTATCACTTCCCAAGCCACCGATCCCCGAAGGGTCGCCGCAGCATATGCTGTTTACCAGCTTTCGCGAGGACCTGGAAAAGTTTGCGGGCATTGAGTCCAATCTGCTCTCCGTCGAGGACATGTGGTCGTCGAGTCCGCCACCCGAGGCGGGTGGTGCCCCTCTTGAGCAATACTTGAGCCCAGATGTAGGCGCCTGACCCTTGCCGTCGAGACGAGATGCCGTACCCATCAACTAATATCTCCGTCCAGGTCAGCACTTGGACATACGTCTCGACATTCTGGGGAAGTACCAAAGTCTTTTGGGAGGGATACCAGCAAGCCTTTGGCAGGCAGCCATACATGCCTCCACCCCTGGGAATCCACACTTGGTTCGTCATGGGTTCTGTGCTTCGCCGACATTGCATGCATCAGTCTGGGCGATATATCTTATTTTGACACACCCTACCAAATCTAGGGACAAGGCGCGAGACTGCTCTTCTGAGCAGCGCAAGGAGGGTGCTGCACGGCTCGGAGTATATCGCCAATGGCTCCTTCGGACTGTGCTTCAGGACGAGGCACACAACACCATCCTTATATGGCCGATTGCTGTTGTCGAGCCTGTCTACCGCGATGAGTGGCCCCGGTATGCTGCACCTCTCCGAAAAAAGACCTACACCAGAAGTATTCTCACTAACATGTGCCGCATTACAGACCACCTACTGGTGATCAATTGCTGTGGGAACCGCTTCTCCTGGCCCCAGTCTCCGGCGCCCCTGAGCTGGTTATTCCTGGTTTGCGCATCCAACACTCTCACAATTAGAATAGTACACCTTCTAAATTCTCTCATGGCCTGCCATTTAGTTGGAGAGGTTCCCTACGTATCCCGCGTCAGCGGCAAGGAAGAAGTCCTTCCAGTCTGCATCTCGATGCTGGGGCCTCCTGGTGAGTTATGCCTCTGGAGACCTCTGCAGTCCTCACTGGGCTTCTCGTCCACTAATCCAGTCACAGGGACCGATACTCAGCTCATTGCTTTCGCTGCCAAATTCCTGGAAGGTTCAGGTCGATACACAGCGGTCAAAACGGGGAGGAGCATAGGCTTCGCTTCAGGTCGTCACCAAGAGAATCACACACAAATGTAAACAGGAGTAGAGGCAACGCGGGTCACTGCTATCGATTGCCAGCCTCGAGCCTTGGGGGCAAGATACCAGACTGGAAAACGAAAGCGGAAGCGAGGTGTCTTTATGGAAGCAGCCCACATGGAAATGGATCCATCCCACCCAATACAAGACGTGCATCTCTTCCCAGCTTGACCCTTTCACAATGGTATTTTGTAGCATTGTCCCAAATGCCCGTCTCGCAGCCACCCAATCGCGACGGCTTCAACATCGCCATCATCTGCACCCTACCATTTGAGTCCGACGCCGTTGATCTCCTGCTTGATAGAAATATACGACACCGAATTTGGCCGGGTTATTGTCGATTCGAATCTATACACGAACGGACGTGTAGGAGGCCGTGCCGTCGTACTCGTCGTGCTCCCAAGAATGGGGCAAGAGGCTGCGGCCGCGTGTTCGCGGAGCCTGCTGTTGAGAGCCCCAGTGCGATGGAAAAACGCCATGCTTGAGGCACTCAAGTCCACCGACCACTGGGCTGCCGCCCTGCAATGTCTCCGTCGCGGCTAATCCGTCGGCATTATTGCCAGAAAGCTATCCGACACGTCGGCTGCAGTTTCGAGCATGACGAGCCTAAGCGGATGGGATCTTGGTGGAGGGCGGCGCTGACCATGTGCATGCACTACAACACACGCTGAAGGAGCCTGCCTGGTCGACGAAAGGCGCCTTTCAATGCTCAGAACATACGGACCTCCGTCGACAGTGCAGAAATAACGAGCAACAGGGCAGGCCATACCTCAGACACCGAATTGCCGCTCCTCGGCTCGCCCCTATACATAGCATCGACATCTGGAGCGGCCGTCGCTTCGACCAGCACGCAAACACTCTCCGAGCCCGCGCGATCGATGCATTCCCAGGGTGACGGTAATTGGGCTGGGCAGAACAGCCGCGAATATTTGGTTAAGAAACTGTCCGATTTTCCCATCGTCGCTTTCTTCCGAGACTTCTTCCAGTTCGACCCGGTCCAGCAGATCAGCCTCCTCCCCACGCCATCCGAGGCCGAGCTTTGTTGAATGAGCGTTGCTAACCACATTGGCACATACGACCATACCCACTGGAATATACGGGATCCCGTCCGCTCTCCCCT